GGTCTGGAGAACAAGGCATACGAGGAGCGGCTGAGGGAGCTGGGGTTGTTCAGTGTGGAGAAGAGGAGGCTGAGAGGTGACCTTCTTGCTCTCTAGGACTAGCTGAAAGGAGGTTGTGGTGAGGAGGGTGTCGTCTCTTCTCCCAAGTAACTAAGCGATAGGACGAGAGGAAATGTCCTCATGTTGTGCCAGGGGAGGTCTAGGCTGGATATTAGGACAAGTTTCTGTAGTGAAAGAGTGGCCAAGCATTGGAACAGGCTGGCCGGGGAAGTGATGGCGTCACCATCAGTGGAGACGTTGTAAAAACCGTGTAGACGTGGGACTTTGGGACACGGTTTCATGGGCGTGGTGGTCTTAGGTTGACGGTTGGGCTTGATGATGTTGGAGGTCTTTTCCAACCTTTGTGACTGTATGTTTCATGGACATGGTGGTGTTGGGTTGACAGTTGCGCTTCATGTTAGACATATTTTCCAATCTTAATGATTCTGTGATTCTGTGACTCTTTAGTGGTTCGTAGCATCTAAATATAATTGTATTCCAAATAATTCAGAATTCAGCATCGGTATTCCTGCAACCTAATTTTTATAGAAGTAATGTACAACTGAAAGGGAAAGTTTTTTTTTGGTGGGACAAAACAAAATGACCAATCTTCATCCAAAAAGAAATAAACTTGAACAGCATGACTAATATTTTCTTACAGGCATGCTGGGTGCTCAATCTTTTACCTTTTTTATAATGTACAAAACAGTGGGAGATCGTGAGCGGCAAATGACAGCAGTTCTTATAAATAAATTATGCTGGAGGTGGTCACTTCTCAAAGTAAGTTATAAAAACAGTATTGTATTCTGGTAATTTACTGATGCCGCTATTTTGATAAAGTTTCAGAAATTTCACAGGAAAACTTCCTGTGTTATCTTAGTTACGAGCAGCCTTTAATGACTCTGAAACTGAAGAATGGCAAGAAAGAAAAAATAAATTGTGGTGTAACTGTCAAGGAGGAAGAAAGGAATTTTGTAGCTTGAAGTTACAAGAAGTTTGGTTTTTCTTTAGGGCTGCTGTAAAAGTTGGAAGGAACATTTTAAGGAAACTTTCAGGTAATTCTAGACATCCAGAAAGAAAGAATTAGTACATAAGTTTGATGTAGACCAAAATAAAATTATTTTGGGGTTAATATCCGTGACTGATTATTAAAAAAACAAAGAAAAAAAAAAAGAAATAGTGTGATGGGAAGTGTGGACTTGGAGGAAAATAGCTGAAGACTTACCAAAAACATATCATACAGTTTTTATTGGCATTATAATTTAACTTTTAAATGACATTATAATGAAAACTTAGCTTGTTAAAAAGGAAAATGGGATTTTTCACAGATAGCAAAGGTAGATTGTTAATAAGAAACAATAATAAACTTAGCAGCTTGGGTAAACTAGTAAGAGGGTGAAGGGTTGTGTTCAGTATATAAAAAGACTAAACACACAGAGCCATGTTCGTAAGTAGGAGCAACAGATAAATGTTTACACTGAATGTCAGGAAAATGTCCCAAGTATTATTCCAAACAGGTTTGGTCTCCCAAAGGTGGTGGGGGTTGCTCAAGAGTTGGGCTTGATTTGTCTGAGCTCATTTTGTGTGTGTTTTAGCAGCCTCTGAACTCCGTTGTTAAGTTCTGGCACCAGTGCAAGGTTTGTCTTCTGCAAAGACAGGCCTTACTCTGACTGATGGGAGCTAAATATAAGCAGGGCAAATACCAGGATGTATTTCTTGAAAGAAGAAATATCAGATGAAGGAATCCTCTGCTGGTCAGGGGAAGGGGAAGAAAATCAACTGTTTCTCTAAAAAACTGTTGCTCATTGTACTTTTTCACAGAAATGCTGGAAGGGAGGAAATGTGTGAATTAGTCTAGAAATTTGAGGCAGTATAGTACTTCTGCTGTGCTCGGATATGATTATTAGTTATTTTGCAGCATGTAGAAACCTCCTTGTTAGGGGCTGTTGTGTAAAATGTGAGCACGAGATGTTTCAGGCAACTCTCTATTACTCCACAGAGCCAACACAGAGCAGATACTGCCTTGCTCAGGACCTGCCTAAATAGTTTTGCTTTCCAAGGTATAAAGCCCCTTTCTTCTTCCCGGCCTGTGTATATCATCATGGTAGGCCTGTTTGCCTCACTGGATTAGTGCCACTCTGCCCTCCTCTGCCCAAGACGCTGCTTTGTGAGAGTGTACAAAAGAATGCACTGATGTAGCAATGGCATTAGTATGAACTGGATTTGATGCTGTCTTCAGGGGGCTTGTTTCTGGATGCAAGTGTCCCAGAGGCTTCCTTGTTAACTAAAGGGAGATGATTAAAGCAATAGTTTGCTTTTGTACTTGATCAAAGGTGATGGTAGCAGGAACTTTGCTGCCCATGTTTTCTTCTCTCATGGTTATGTAATTTAAATGAAAGTTCTGCTTGTTGCAGGTTAGCCTTCCCTATGCTTACACTGGTGGGCAAGGACTTCAGTATATTTATTGCTCTTGCATCTCTGTTCCTGCCGTTTCATATGGAAGGGATCAGGTTTTTGCATCCATAAGATTGTTTCCTGTAGTTTTCCCATTGCTGGATGCTGTGGACTGCACACTGTGCTCCAGCATTTGCCAAGTAAACTCCGCCACAAGTTACAGGTAGAAGAGTTTTGCACCTACAGTGGAAGCTTATTGACTCTTCTGCTGCCATTATATGAATTATATATGTTTTAAAATTGCTCTATTGGGGGAAGGGATTGGGGTTATTCTGCCCTGAGGAGCGAGTTAACAGGTTAAAAAGGAGCCTCCAGAGGCATAGCTTGGGTCTGGAATTTGAATATATTGAAAGGAGCATTATGGATGTTGAAGCAGGTGTTGCGGTTATGTTTTGTTCAGGCTCTGTATGAGTTTGTGCATGACATTGGAAGACCTTACAGGAGGGTTGAGTAACCTCTCACTGTCATTGGGCACATAGGAGGAAGTTCTTCTAATGTTGTGGTATTAATTAGTGGTTGCAGATGTGTGTTTGTGCAAATTATGTCTGGTACCATAGTGGCTAAGAAATTCCTGAAGTCAGAAATGAAGGGGGAGGGGAGAACCTCCCAAAATTTTAAATCTGTAGAGCAATTTTTTAGAGCTTCCCATGTTTCCAACCACTGTCTCCTTGCTTTGTTTTCCAGTAATAATGAAAACAGGATTGCTTATAACGCAGAAGGGTTGAAATATGACATTGTGCTTTTATTTTGTAACCGTTTTCTTTCCTTCCCCAAATTACAATAGGTGCATGGAAAAACTCTATAGAAGAATGGACAGCGGAAGACTGGAATGAGGATGTAAGTGTACCTTGTTGGATAGACCGATTGATTATTTACCCTTTTCAGATTTTCTGTGTTGTGTTCCAAAACTGAATGTTTGAAGTAATGTTTTGCTGTATGCAGTCAGTGATATTTCTTACTGTGTTTCTTGCTGTACTTCCTGTTTTAAAATACATATATTTACATAAGCTTATTTTAAAAATAAAATTGAATCAAGAAATACTAATTTATTTTGCTGAGTGGACAATATATAGATAATAAAATGTTAAGTTTTATCCCAAATTAAGTATTTGTGAATTGTAGTTTTTCACTGCTCAGTGCTGATGGGTGTTAACTGCATATTTCCCCATACTATTGTCTAGGGATTTAAAACCATATTATCAGAAGACTTTTATGTAATTAAGTGCTAAGTACTAGCAACTTTAGACTCGTCACTTCTTGCTTTTTGTTTGAAATCTGCATAATTCTTCCACTTAGTCCAAAAATTATTGGAATAGCAATTAAAAGTAAGCCAGTCATGCAGAGAAATCTGGACCTCTGCTAGACTTGACCTGTTCAAATGAAAAATGCTATAGTATAGCCAAGTGCCCATTTGTTCTATAGGGATAAAGGCACACCTCAGAACAAAGGGCTGTTTTCTGGAAAGCAGCAACTGAAAATTTTTCAGGATTGTAGTGGATGGTGAAAAAAGAACAGCTCAGCATGATATCTCCTAAAGGGCTGATGCCGCAACAAAAAAAAAGCTATTGTAGTCTTTTTGCCTGTAGGCATTCTTCCCTGTCTCTTAATCATTCTTGATTTATATTTCTGTATGTAGACTCTCCTGAACTTTGTTCTGAAATACTGCATCCAATTATTCATTGCTTTTACTAAACAAAAACTGTGGAAAATAGATGAAAATTATTTATTGCTCGAAGAGGTCCATGAGAGTGAGATTTTTAGTCTAGTGAATCTGAAAAGGTTATTTTATTAGCATATAACGGGCTCTGGTTTTAGTCTAGCAGAAAAATGCATAATATGAACCTGGAGCTGTGCATTTAAATGTACAATAAACAATTCTGGCAGCATGACTAATGATTAAAACAACCAAGGAAGCCGATGTATTTGCTGTCTGCAGATAAAGACCAGGTGTTTTTCTGAAGAATATCTTTGTTTGGATGTGGTGTTCTCTAGTCAGATACAAGTTAGGAGCAACTGAGTGAAATTTAATGTTGTTTGACATGAGAAGGTTAGGTTTTTGTGATCTAATAGTCCTGTCTGGTATTTCTTTTTAAGTAGTGAGTATTGAGCAAGTATTGTAGGTTGTCAGAATGCTCTGAAATAGAGTGGAAACTAGTTGCAGTGAAAATACGAGGTTGTATTTTGTTAAAGGAGTATTCCAGGCATGGACAATGAAGGGCCAGACAACAGTTGAGGTACTGTAGATGGCTCTGGGTTTTCCTGTTAAAATTGTGATCATATTCTCCTGGCTAAAGAACATAAAGTTTTAACTACAGAAACTATCAAAAAGGGAGAAATAGAATGCATACAAATTGCTGGAAAGTGAAGGCAAACATTTTCTGTACAATATTGGTAGTCTTAATTTTTATTTGAAAAAACAGCAACACTTTAAAAAAAAAAAAGAAAAAAAAAGTATGTTTTAGTGGGAGTGTTTCCTTAACCAGGAAGCAGCATGAAAACTTGTTTTATTTTCTTTAACTTCAGTACATCATATCAAAACAGTAATAATGTTTTGTTATTTCTGATTTGTTGATGTTGAGTTTATAAGGATGTTGCAGTATATTTTCCTGTTCTCCTTACCGATCTACTGGCCATAGGAGCTGGTAGCTAGTTGTTAAATATATTGTCTATTTGGTGATTGGATAATGATTTTTATCATTGGAACAGGAGCTGAAAAGCACAAGCATTTCATTGCAGATGGAGGAAATACCCTTGTGAGGCTGGCGTTTGCAAGTGGTTCACGACCATTCATTCAGGTCTGGGAAAATGCCAGAGCCTCAGTGAGAGATTTGTGAGGGTAGTGTACGGTGAGCGTCAATAACTTTGTTAGGAGCCTGTAACACTACTTCTAAGAAATACAAAATACATCTGTGTAATAAAACTTTCCAGCTGCTGCTGCACAAAGTATGTGTTTTGACAAATGCCGTAATCCCAGCAGATTTGTGAATTAGGTGCTTGATTGGAGCTTATGGCAGTGAGTCTGCCATAGGGTGTAGTGTAAACTCTAGTATAGCTGAGCTGGTAGCTGGAGACTTGTTTTGCATGCTGGTTCACTTGAAGAGAACGTTTCCTCTCATGTGAGAAGCATGCTTTTGCATTGTCACAAACATCCTCAGGCTCCTTGATTCGCTTAGTTTTCAGGTGCTTTGGCCACAGTTAGTCTTATCCAGTGTTATGTGAGTGTAAGAAATTGTTGACATTACAAGGCATTTAATATTTAACCAAGGGATTGCAGACCATAGGCTGCTGCTCATGCCATTAGGTGACCTCCTTGTGCCATATAATGCAGGAGTCTCATAACGCTACAAAAAATACCGTACACTTCGTTCTAAAATAACAAATATGGTGGGGAGGGAGCTGAACAATAGAGAAACAGCCTTTTAAATTGGAAATATGCTTGAGCTAAATCTTCTTTCTTTGCTCTGGTCAGTACATAGAGTTGTGGGCTAGCAGCATTATACACAGGACAGAGTTGTGTTCCAGAAAGATGGGATTAAAGTACCTTGTATTGGCAGCAAGGGAAAGGAAGGAAATGGAGGAAAGAGCTGTGATGTACTCATTTTTTCATGACACAGTGTCTTGCACATAAGTGGGTACTAGGAGAGTACATGAAACATTTGGACTTTGCCCCTGAGTGCTAAGTGATTGCTCCCAGTCACTCCTTTGTGTCCTGCTTAAATCAACAGTGCTTCATAGAAGAATCCCAATCAGATGACCGTGTTAAGGGATATATGTGCTTTCAGTAGAGCTGCCTGTGGGATGGCAGATGAAATTGACTTACATCTGTGATGTCCTTTAAACTGGGCTGCTAGCAATATATGTGATTAAAAATGCATAATTTCCTGGAAGAGCTGTATTCAAATGTCACATTCTAAAGGGATTCTTTGAGTGTTTGAATAGGTCCCGTATTCTTTAGTCTAAACAAAGCTACACCAAAGTAGTTTAGGGTGGTTTTGTGCATATTTAATTTAAAATATAACCATTATACGTGTGTATCTTTATCTTGTTAAACCTAACCTGTACTGGCGTAAGACCTATTCTGGTTTGCAAGTATTCCTGTCAATAGAAATGAATTAGCCCTAGGAAGTTGTAGCTGTTTAACTACTGTTTTTTTAAAAAAGAAAAGCTATTAACCTCCCCCAACCAGCAAACAAACAACTCTCCCCTACAAACCAAAATCAACCTTTTCCCCCCAAAACTCCAACCAAGCAGCTCCCCATGTACCAGCTACATGTGCAAGTACCTATCTTTATTCTAACAGCATTGTGAAAGCAGTACTGTTTTCTGGTGTGGGATGGTCTGACTGGTTATGCTAGTATAAGAAATTACAGGGTTCTCCCTTTATTATTTTCAAATTCATACTCTCAGAGCAGTCAGTTTAAGATGTTTTTGCCACCCCTAGCAGAAATGTCAAGAAAGAACTACGGTTTGCGGTACATCCCTGAGTACAACCCTGCCTCCACTGGTGATGTAAGCTGAAATGTAAAACACAGGATACATGAAATGAGTGGGAACTGCGCCATGCTTCTGCAACAAGATATATCAGAGCTGCTCTACAGAGTCCTAAATTATGTCTGCACAAGGGTTATCTTTACACTGATGATATACCAGCTGTCATGTTAATTACTTTCCACTGGTATGTTTTTCAGTTAAATTGTTGCTCAAACTGATGTAGTAACATTGGTATACTGTTGTGTGTGTTCAGTAGATCAAATTTCTGAACACTTTAATTAAATTCTCAATTCTGTGGAGAAGACTTCAAGTGTGACTGCATGATTTTGTCTTTTTAAGCAGAGCTGCAGCATAACTGGTTGTAATGGTAGTTTGACTTTACTTTTATCTTGAAAGTGCATGACCAATATGGAATTTCTGCAGATGTTGCAGCAATAAAGCGTTAGCATGTGTATGATTAAATACTTTTTCCCCCTGCCCCCACCCTCCCTTTTTTTCAGCTTTCTGAATCAAAAGTCTTCACTGCTTCCTCTGTTCCAGCTGAGAATCATGTGACTCCTGGGCAAAGGTAATCTCTTGTTCCACATTTTCCCTATGCCTTAAAAGCCTTCAGCTTCGTGAAGCAATGTTAGCTTGCATATATAAAATGTTGAATAAAACACAGGGCAGCCCTGGTGAGAGATTGGTGAAGCTAATTTCAAAATTGTGAAAGCCTTGCTTGCAAATCATTGGTTTTGTGAGTTTCTATGTTACCTATTATTATCTATGGAAGTGGAGCCAAACTTACCAAATCCACAAGCATAATACTGAGAAGACCCTGTTGTCTAAACAAAGAGTGCTTACAGGCAGGAGCAGAAGTAGCTGGGAAGAAGAGTTTTCTGCTGTTGAAAAGGAAGCTCTGGCTTTGCTGTCCAGAAAATGGAAAGCCTGCCCCTGTAGATGCAGAAAGTGTTCAGAACGTAGTGTGTTGACAAAGAAGTTAACAGAAAAGCTTGTGTTGGTAAGAAGATGAATTTCCTTATAAGCATCACAATTACTTGCCTTAGCTGATGATATAGAGTGCAGATAGAAAACCAAAAATATGGCAGTTGCTGCCTTCCTTTCCTTGCCTTTGTCTTCACCGAATGCTTGGACGATGGTGCTGTTAGCCTCAGGTCCCAGGAGAACAGGTTAAAGTTGTGTGATGAAGACTTTGGTAGCTGGCTAGCATGAGATCTGAAAACTATGTGGCTTGCTGGTCCCAGGCAACTTGATACAGCTGTACTGCTGTACTCCAGGCTGCAGCAAAATTTTCCTTGTGACACAGATGTGATCTAGAGGAGGCATGGTGTCAGTATACAGTTTATATTCCTTTCCCTCTTAAAGGTGACGTGCTTGCATGTTCATTGTTCTAATGCAAATATTCTTCCAGTGGATGTCTCTCAGATTATGTTAGGAAATATTTTAGTTCATCAACTCAAGTTCTGGTGTTTTGTGTTATTGGTAGTGAGTTGGGGATGGGGTTTTTTTGTTAGTTTTGGTTGTGGGTTTTGTTACGTGCCATAAGAAGGGTTTTGGCATTAAGTAATTTATGCTAAAGAAAGTGCTGGAAGCAGCTCTTCAAGCCTGCAGTATATTTAGGATAAACTTGAGTCTTTGAATAGATTGCTTTTATTGTATGAATGTTTTGCTTTTCCTTGGATAAACCTGTGCTAAACATGTGGTAGGGGTTAGTAACCCACGCTAAATATAAGAAAATTCATGCTTCTCATCCTGCTCAGGTATGTGTGGTAATTTTGGATATGTGCCTACTGTCTGAGAAACTTAGCTTTTATTTCTTCTGCTCTTTTGACTTCCATGTCATCACATACTCACTCAATCGCTGCACGTGACTGAATTATTTTTTACTGTCCTCATACACCCCCTATACAGAGGTAGGACTTCGATCATCTGCTGTTTTTAAAGGGATAGCATGATATAGAGAGAATGTGGATTACCTATATATTGTATGTATATAATGGGTTTGCAGGCACAACCCACGCAAACATAATATATCTTTTATGACTTGTCTCTGGTTACTTGGTTATATTAATCATATAGGTTATTTATGTGATACCTAATGTTATAAATTTGATACTTTGAAAAGAGTGCAAAGGTAAGTTATATTCTAACTGTAGTGGAAGGTTTCAGCTAGCAGAATATTATTTTCTGGCAGAACCCTCTATTCTACCTCTTTTTGTATGGCAGACAAGCACTATTTGAAAAGACTTTTAATCAGTAATAATTCTGTTGCCTGTGTGGTAGCTTTAGTATTGTGCTTGTTGCAGTTTCAGCACAGCCTAATCATCATGTTTATTCCAGCTAAACTTTGCTTTTTCTTACAGCATTGATTTGCTAACACTGCTTCAAAAGCCTGTCATTTCTACCCAAGAAGCAGAAGTCAACTCCTTTGAGGCTCCCCAGCAGCAGACCTTTGGTCAAGCCCTAGTCTTCACAAATTCTCAGCACAGCACCCAGATGCCATCAGGAACTGGCAGCTCCAGTGCTGTAAACTCTTATTCTCCTCAAAGTCTGGTAAAATTATCTTATGCTTTCTAAATATTTTTTTATGAGTAAATATTTCAGGTTAAACAACTTTTCCAGTACCAGTCATTTCATGAGTATTTGTAAAATTCAGGTTGCAAATGTTCACATGCACACAAAAAGATGACACTTTTTCTGGTTTTGCTAAGTAGTTGTTTCTCGATTTATATGTGAAGTACTTGTATTAATTTTTGAGTAGAGAGCAGATGCGTTCACTGCATGCTGATTTAAGATGAAATAATTTGTTTATAGCAAGGAGTTCTATGCCAGAAAACTATGACGTGTTATTTCCAAGTACATACCTGACTGCTTTGTGTGGAAACCTGACTATTTCCGAGTCAATTGTGAGGGCTTGAAATTGAGCACTTTATTTATTCTCTGAAAATCAGTTCAACTGTTAGTAAATGCATGCTATTTTGAGATGCATGGATTCAAGCAAATCCGTATTGTTGCAGTCAATGATGGAAGTTGTATCGGTGATAATCAGAGGGGATCTGGCCATATGCTACAACTGCTAATTTGTTTTTATTGGCCATTTGTTAGTAATCTAGGACTGAAGAGGTTTTAGCTGCTGCCAAATAGTGGCTCTAGGCGTTGATCCTATGGTTATGTTAAAATTATTTATTAAATACTTAACTCCACTCCTTCCCCTCTTGTTTTCTGTCTTTTGGTAGTCTGCGGTTCTTTGCTCTGGGTTTGGAGAACTTGGAGCTTCTAAATTGTCAAACTCTACTGGATCCCAAATCTTGGACCAGTTGAAATCTCCAGGATTGGGTCAGTTTACCTCTCCACAAAATAATAGTAGCTCTACCACCACTACCACAACTACCACATCATCCTGGGATCTAAAAGCGCCCATTACTCAGTCCTCAGTCCTTAGTCAGTTTGGTAAGTGCTTTCTCTCTCTCTCCATTAGCCTGTAAGATTTCTTAATGCCAATGACAGTTAAAAATGGCCTTAATGAAAGACTTTTTGTAAAAAATGTAATCCTAATAATACAATTGGTTACAACATTTTAAACAAGAGGTACGCTTACTTGCTGGTAATAGACGTTACGAGTCCATCACAAACTAAGTTTTGGTAGGCTGAAGCCTATCCATAAATATCATTGCATCTTTAGACATTGTTGAGCCTTCATGTCATGGCATCTTTGATTTAATGTACCTGAAAATTTAAGTGGAACTTTGATCTAACTTTATTTCTCAATAAATCCTGGAAAATACTTATTTTCGTTTTGTCTATGCTTCTTCTAGCTGCGTATAAAGTTACACCATATTTCAGTTTTTTTCCACAAATTTTTACTCTTCTAACCATTACATGAATTTTGAACGAGTACTCTATAATTTCTTCATAATGTACATCACACCTCAGTG